ACACAATCAGCAAGGTGTTTCAAGAATTTCCTCCTAAGGATCGTCGGTCTTTAACGCATTTCTCGAGCGGGTCTTTTGAGACCCCTTCGTTATACGATCTACATACGTTCGTGATTAAATTCAAGGGTTGTCCCACATCACATAGTTAGTTGTCGGCTTGTTTCCTGCGGAACAAGTTTCGTCGTGATTCATCCATCATCTGCGAGTTTGTTTTGCGAGTCAAGGTACTTCATCAAAAGTCGTAGCGACTGTCATCCACGTACATGTTATCCATGTCTCATAGTCGCTCGGTACCATTCGTTGATTGGCTCGCGGGATATCAACTACCTATTTAGATTTTGTACTTGTCGTCTAACGGTTCGTGTGTCGTACTCGTGGGTACTGTATTGTCAGCATTCATCGTCGTCATACGATCATTGTCATCTTTTGTATTCTTTCGTGTCATGTTTGTTAGTTCTACAGCGTCAGCGATTATCGATATATAGTCTCGTCGGATGTACGGCGTACCAAAGTTGTCATGGGAGTGTATCATACGCCCTCCCTAGCTTGTGTATTTCACGTGGTATAAATTCCATCTTTCGGATGGAGTGTCAACGTGCAGTTGCGTCGCACACATTTGTTGTGTTCGTGTTTGTTTCGGCTTCATACCCTGGATGGGTCGTGCTTGGCCCGAGTACTCGATGTAACTCGGTGTTCAGCATTATCGTACTTTACCCCTTTCAAGCGGTACGTAGGGATATTTTAACTTCACGTTCTTGGCGCGCATTCAGGGATTCGTTCCCAGGTTTCCGGTGGCATTCAACTTATTGACATGACATTAATAGTAACGTATTCGACATTAAGTGCATTCGTCGACCTCGAAGTAGGTTCACCCTTCGCGAGTCGTAACCTAAAGTCTTCAAACGGCATAGTCGAGATTAAACTAATTCGTTCTTGATTCATTAAAGTTATTTCTCAACAATTCTTTGAGTCATACTAACGAGAGTAAGTGGGGCATTCTACTAACGTCACCACTATCAATATCGGCGTCACTAGTACCTGCGAACTAGACTTTGTAACGGGTCAGGAGCCCTTCAACGTTGTGTCCGCTAACGGCCAAACATATTTCCATGTGTTGACATCATATTTTTTTTGGTACGCTTCATTCGCGGTTCATCGTGTCAGCAAGGTATGTCGGCACATAACGCCTTGGCAGATAGATTATTCATTACATTCTTTTGATTTGTATCCAGCCACACTACTACACCATGATGTGCTGGGAATAGATACTACTTTCTTTATTAATCAAACGACTTCTCCCTGTCCTTTATACGGTTATTCCCGTTTGATACTAAAATAAGATTCCCTCATCCATCCAGGTCTGCAGCCCCTTCAGGATTTAGTTATCCGATCCAGTGATCAAATGAGATAATCGAATATTAGACGAGATATTTAATTATGAGTACATTTTTACACTCTTTTCTTTTGTTATCTAGCATCTCGTTGTCAGAGTTTATGCTAGCATTCACCTTATAGTAATAGGTTTCATCTACACGATGTGAATTCCTATCTTAGACTATCGCATTTCAGTATGCACAATAACCAACAATTTGAAGCTCAACACAAATATTCCAACAGTCAAATTGACACATACACTCAAGCAATCAGCTTCATACAAGTATTTGAGCAATCAGCTCAGCACAACTATTCAAACAACCAATTCCATACAATTATTTGGGCAATCAGCTCCAAACTATTGTTTGAGCAATCAGCTCGGTTCACACAACTTGAGCAATCAACTCCACACAAACGTTAAGCAATGAGATAATGATTTATTACCTTCCCGGAAGGCAGAGATGTCGTGGAGGATGCAGATGCAGTATTTGGAATAACTTTTGTCATAGCTATTATTATCCAAATAATACTATTTCCCATTATTTCTTTTCAAAATAGTATTTTGCAATGGTCCGAAGATCGACTTTAAAACCATATACTCTGATACCAAAATGTAACACCCCAACCCGCATAACCCGAATAAATAGATTAGCGAACCGGGTTGCTACTAAATTGGTAACCACATACAATATTTTTCAATAAATAAAAACATTTAATTTAAAAACTAAAACAATTCAAACCATTTAAATACATATCGGAGTTTATACAAACAGTGCGGAAGCTTTATAATTAAATCAGACATTATTAAATCCCTGCATCCGTACAGCTCCTCCGTCACGCTGCCCTCCAAGATGTATTTCACAGTCAACCCCTCCATGATTACCTACGTGTAACAAGGGGAAAAAGAGGCTACACGCTCAGCAACGAAGCTGAGTGAGAAATATTTAACAGTTCGAGCATACACATATGTGAATCCACTAATTCATAATCATAACATGATATCACGCACATAGGTGTAATGTCATGCAGTTCACATAAACATTTTATCATATAATTTACCTGGCACCTGCCCTTTTCCATTCCCGCCAAAACGGAGCGTATCTTTCAATGGTGGATCACCATTCATCTGTGCCTGAACTCTGCACCAGACTAAGGACTTGCTACTTTTCTGGGAGTCATGATTGTTCCCACTGGATCAGCGGATCATGCTCAATCAACGAGGGAGTTCTCACGGTTGGTGGATCACCAAGAACTTGTCCCTATTAACCATTCTAATCTAAGGACTATAACTTTACTGTATGGGAGACATGAGGGTTCCCACTCGATCAGCGGGTCATGCTCAACCAATGAAGGAGTTCTCCGTTGGGTGGGTGGAATCCCCACCTGATGGATCACCAGGCAATTCAAGGATACCCGTACGTACGTTTTTACCCGGTTCGACTTAACCATTGGAGCCCAGCAGGCAACCACCTGGTTTATACTCTTAATTTCCTATATTTATGTCAGTCCCAAAGTTTTCCTATGGGTAGACCTACCTTACCAAACGCATTGGATCAACACGTGGCACCTGTTTGTTGTGTGCTGGATCAGCCCACTCATACTTGTAATATCATATCCAAACATATGTATTTCACATAGTCACACATGTGTTGGATCACCATAATAATATTAGTTCACTTAAGTGTTGGATCAACACAGGGCAATCACAATTATAACACATAGCGACCTAGCATTGGGTATTGATACCCAAACTTACCGTCATACAACACATAAGGTCTCGGAATCAATCCTTGACGAAAACACATATCGACAAATCCGGCACCAGATACCAGCCGGTACCCTTCACGGTACGGGGTACCGTCCTCACGGTACCTGTGTACCGATCTTACAGTACTGGGGTACCGTCCAAACTATATGAACCCGTCCGGTAGGACTGCCACGGTAGCCGTCTACCGATTGGGGCGATAGGGCCTACCGTCCGGCCGGTACCTAGGTACCATACGGTCACAGCTACCGGCAGAGGTAGAAGAATCAACAGAGTGTGACGGTAGCACGGTACCGTCCCAGCGGTACAGCCTACCGTCTGACACAACAGATTCCAACTTTTTACCTGTTTCGTTTTCCAGCGTCAAACCAACAGAATCTCATAGCAATAAACACCAATTAATTCATATTACCATTCTAATTATTATCAAGCACATTATTTCATCAATCGGCACCTAAATCACGCATACTACCCTTTTCAATCGGCATAGCCCCCGAAACCACCATCAAATAGTTTAGTCACGTAATTCACGCAGATCAATCACGATAATAATTATGAACGGAATTTCAAACATATATGCACATTCTAGTGTTAGATGTCCACGTACTCACTTCAATTCGTCGATTCGATTCGAAGGTTGTGCGAGTTTCATCGTCAACCTCCTCGGAACACTTAACGCCATGCGTACTCGTCGCTGCCCAAGCCTGCCCAAACCCAACCAATCAATTGCTGGAGATCATTCGCCGGAGTCATTGGCCACGCCCTCTGCCGCTGCTGCTCAACCGCCGGAATTCCAGTCGCTACCATCGCTGGAATTGTTGGTACGTCCTGGTCGCCGCTGTGCCTGGTCGGGTCGTCGCCGGAGCAGAGAAGGGTCGGGCCGTGGACTACAGTTGCTAGGCAGGAGGTCGCCGGTGAAATTCGTCGCTGGGTCACCGGAAAGGATGGAGGTCGCCGGCGTAGTTGGGTCACTGTCCTCGTCTGCGATCGTCGCCCATCGAGGTCCCCGTCGTACCACTGACCGGAGAAGAGGGTTCGCCGGTCTCCTTCTCTTCGTTACTGCGTGTTTCGATTGTGTAGGACCTCAGGCGCTACCAACTCTTCTAAAACCAATTGGTGTTAGAAGAGGCGCATACCCTAGCCTTATAGTGCATTCAACACACAAGCGCCCACGACATTCGATTGTGACTTGGCCCACATAGCCTCCGCCACGGGACAATTGCTGCACACATGGCCAACAATCTCCCCCTCAGCAATTGCTCCCGCTGGGAATCGAACTCGTGACCTTGGCTCTGATACTAATTGTTAAAATAATAGACCAACGCTAGAGGGGGGGTGAATAGCGTTTGATCGGAGAAATCGCAGGAATTTAAAAATTAAAAGAGAAGTAAAGAGAAGAGTAAAAGGCACACCGAATTTTACCCTGGTTCACCACAACTTGTGGCTAATCCAGCCTCCCAAGAGACTCTCTCGAGCTACACTACTATCTCGTTAAGCTTGCGGGTGCTTAACAAACCGTTACAACTTGAGAGTTCGAGTCACACGAACCTCAACGAATCCTTCAAAGGAAACATACCTTCCTTTGAATCAACGAGAGAAATACTTTCTCTCAACGTGTCTAAGAGCACAAGTACACTCAAGAACGAGACTCTCTTGTAGAGTAGATTATAAGTAAACTAAGTACGCTCAAGAACAACTCAACCTTCACACACAAATGGCTCTAGAAAGCTATGGAAAATTATGATATTTGAATGCAATGAAAGTATGGATGTTGTGAAGTGAATTGGTGAGAAAAGCAGACCCAAACACCCCTTTTTATAGTGCCAAAATAGGCTCCAACGGACCAATACATTAAAGGGGTGATTGGCTTGATTTATGGGATTGAATAAATTTGGGATCTGCAGGATATTGGCTTCCCATCGATGTTTAGACTCAACCATCGCTGGTAAGCCAATTTTCCTTCAGTTTTGAAGTCAACGGTCACCTACCCATCGATGGGTACAAGCTTCCCATCGCTGGGTGGGAGGTTGACTTCCAAACAAGGAAAGAATCAACCTTTAATGACCACCAACGGTCATGCCTTCCCATCGATGGTATACCCTTACCATCGCTGGGTTCCCATCGATGGGATAGG